GAATATGCTTGTGGATAGGGCGTCCATCCTTGTCCTCTATGCCATGGAAGGTGTACCCAAGTCCATGGCCTCAAACTGAGCCAGTGGACCAAAAGCCTGAGAGCTCAGGCCCGAGTGCCAGACAGCCTCATAACTGTCTGCCTGAAAAGTACCTCCAAGTCTTTCTAGGTGCTTGGAGAGCAACCCCAACTGTAGGGCAAGAAAGAAGGGGGGAGGCTTACATACTTTCCAGTCTTGGCTGGAGAAGAACTTGGGGTTAGGTAGGTTTCCCCATACGGGCTTCCAAAATGTTGAGGATTAGGGGATTAGGGGTGCTGGGGCCCCAAAATCAGAACACACCGATCCTGTCCAAAAGAATTCTACCCAAGCCTTCTTTCAGTCAAAGACAAGGTTTATTACAACATCTGTCATATTGGGTAGACTCTTAAGGAATCTAAGCATTTGTATCGCTAATGCAAGTGGGCCAGATCTTAAGAATCTGAGCAGTGGCTAGATTTTAAGAATCTGAGCAGTGGCTAGATTTTAAGAATCTGAGCCAAGCTCCCACTCTCTAGGGGCTCAGTTTAATATGTAGGACAACATGAAAACAACGATGTACAAACAAGATTTATATACAGTATAAATTGAAGATAATCACCAAAGGGAAGGCAATAGCATTAAGGAGAATCAGAAAGGGTGGTAGTCAGCTACTGTAACCTATATATCAAGAGAAAATCCGCTGTAATGTCCCCAACAAGTGATGTCCTGCCTCTGATTGAAGACCTTCAAGGAAGAACCTACAGGATCCTTAGACAACCCATTCCACTTTTGGACAACTCTAATTGTTATGTAATTTTCCTAGACTTTGAACCCAGCTCTCTAAAAAGTTGTTTTGTTTTGTTTTTCCCCACTACTGCTTCTTACTATTGTATAAAGCAACAGTGTCTATAATATTCCAACACACTCTTCTATGATTTTTCAAATTACTTTATAAGCTTAGGTTATGTTGATGTTGGCTGACATATTTCTTTACTTGGTAAGGAGATCAAATGTTTGCTAAGGGAGTTTCTTAAGGCTTTTGGTTTCCTTCTTGTTGAATGAACAAATGGAGGAATGCATTAGGGCATGTAGTATCATTTCATGGACAAAGCACTGGCCTAGGATCAGGAAATCCATTTTCTCAGCTGTCGTTACATAGCTGTATAATCCTGAGCAATTTGTTTAGTTCAGGGATGGAGAACCTATGGCCTGGAGGCCACATGTAGCCTTCTAGATCCTCAGGTGTGGCCCTTTGACTGAGTCTAAGTTTTATAGAACAAATAATTTTATTAAGGGGATTTGTTCTGTGAAGTTTGGATTCAGTCAAAGGGCCACACTTGAGCACCTAGAGGGCCACATGTGGCCTCGAGGCTGCAGTTTCTCCACCCCTGGTAAGTTCTCTGTTTCTATTCTGTGAAATGGTCTTGATCATGTCTGTCTCTCAGAAATGTTGTAAAAATAAAAATGCAATATAGATGAAAGTGCTTTGAAAATTTTTAACGTCAATGCTGTTAATTTGGGTATAGGTTGAACAAAATGATCTTTAGAGTCCTTTACAACTATGTGAGTCCATTATTTTCTTGGACAGATATAGATGTTTTGTAAGTTTTAATTTGTGTTCATTTTTTCATTAAAAGCAATGTATGAATAGTTATTTCATCCTTGATAATAGTTAGCATTTATATAACCCTTTGTAATTTACAAAGTACTTATGCATTATCTCATTTGTTGGTTCAGTAACTAGAGCACTGGGTCTGGAATCAGCAAGACCCAAGTTCAAATCCTGTTGCATACACTTACTGCCTGTATGACCCTGGGCAATGTACTTAACCTCTGCCTGCCTTGGTTTCCACATCTGTAAAATAGGGTAATAAAAGTACATATCTCCCAAGATTGTTGTGAAGATAAAATGAGATAATATCTGTAAAAATCACTTAGAAACCTTAAAACTATTCCATAGCTAGATAGATATATGTATACACACACTTATAGTACATATATATATATATATATATATATATATATATATATATATACATATACAAATAAATAGATACTTGCTATTGTTATTATATTTCCATGTAAGCTACAGCTCAGAGATGGCTGAATCTTCCACAGGTGCTGTGTTGATTAGAGATCTATATATCTTTCCTGTGAAAGAAATCATTGCTACTTAGTGCTGTCATCTAGCTCTGTAACTTGATTTTGAAATACACCATCACCCTCAAGGACTTCTGATTTCTTTTGTGTGGAGGCATTTCTTCTAACTAGGCGAATCATAATTGTATATGACTTAAAATTCTAGTTTCCTGAGGTTAAGTGAGTTGGCCGTGGTCACACAGACAGTGTCAAAAGCAGGTCTTTTCACACAGGCCCTTCTAAATCCAATTCTAGTGCTCAATTCAAAATGCCACATAGTCATAGTATCTATGAACATTAATATACAGTCTTATTATCTAGTCTTAATATCTTCAAATCTATTATGAAAGGCATCATAGATATGAAGGTTGAAATAGCTATCCTCTTCTTCCCCTACCTTTGCTGGAGCATTTACCCATGGGCCATCACTATTTCCTAATGGGTATTTACAGGGATAAAATAATTTTTCAATCTGTTTTCTCTGTGCTAAGCAAGGCAGATGATTTTTTTTCATGTTCTACTCTACAAGGCCTCTAATGTTAAGAGAGGGTGAGAAGAATTTTAAGATTCCCCTCTATTGAGTTCTTAAATTCTATTTTTGTTCTCTTTATCCTTGTATGTGTGCATGTACATACATATATGTATGTATATATGCATGTGTGTATATATATATACACACATGCATATGTATGTGTCTTTTGATATGCATACCCATTCATGTAAGGGTCTATATACTTACATGCATGTATCTATGCATGCATACACATATATGTGTATATTCAGAAACTGGATACATATGTGTGTATCTATATGCAAGTATATCTGGACCTAGATCTATAGAGATATAATTAGAAGTAAGTAGGTGACAAGGCAGATGGATAGAAAATACTTCAAGGCATTAGATGTGATGTTTATACTATTTGATTCTTTTTTCTTTGTCAACATGTGGAAGAAAGGTTGGCTTATGGTTCCATTTTCTCCTAGGTAGTATCAATCTAAGTACAAATCAATAATAAGAAATTGGGCTTTTCACCTGTCTAAAGTCACTCGTTTTCCATTATCCTACACAGAACTCATCCTTATTAGAGCAGAGCTGGCACCTGTCCATTACACTATTCCATGCTAGTCAGATAGATTCTAGTAATAACTATAGAGGGAAATTGACAGACTATGGTTAGTGCTTTGGGATTTGGCAAGCTGATGAAAACAAACTTCTTAAAAGCAACAAGCCCAGACCCCTAAGGTGGTTCTTTCTCCAACAATGCACATTATTCAGCTGTGATAAACTCTTAGTCCAAACTGGCCAATTCCAGCTGGGAGCGTATTGTAGAATGCCAGGGTTAGAAATAACCTTAAAGATCACATTGTCCAATATCCCATTATTACGTATGAGGAGGCCCTAGAATGTGAAATGACTTGTCCAAGATGTCTATATGAAGGAAGACAAGGTCAGGGCATGGGGCAATATTCCATTAAATAAAGGACTATTTATTAAATATTTTCTTTATGCATGTTTTTGTGGTAATTACAAGACCTAATATAACTGCTGGAAAAAATGTATAATTGAAGTAAGACAGACAGATAGATAGACTGACAGACAGACAGATATATCACATTAATACATTATCATTGCATAAGATAGGTATATATATATATAGATATGAAGGTATGTACAAATGTGTATATACATGTACATGCACAAGGATGGAGAGAATGACAATAGAATACAATATCAAGTGTGAGGAAGTTGAGGTTTATTATTGGTTGGGAAAACCATGGGAGGTATCTATGGAGTACAGAGTGGTTTGTTTTGTTTGTTTTGTTTCTTGTTTTTTGTTTTGTTTTTTTGAGGGAGTTCTCAAAAGAATAGGTAGGAGTTCAACAGGAAGTAGGCAGGGGGAATGACACCAACAAAACATGAGTGAGAAAGCAAAGAAGAGAGAACCAGTCTAAAATTTTTGGAGCATAAATTTTGCATACAACAGTAATATGAGATAAGTATGGAAAAATAGGGTGATACCAGATTATATAGGATATTATGCCTGACCAAATAGTTTGAATGTTACTTGGCAGGCAATAGGGAGCCACTGAAGAATTTTGAGCATATATCCAGAGACATATATAAGAAAGATTATTCTCTGCGTGATACAGAAGATAGAATGAGGAGAGGGAGGAAGGAAATAAGCATTTATTGAGCACCTATGATATGCCAGACACTGGGTTAAGCACTTTACAAACATTTTATTCTCACAACCCTGAAAAGGAGGTGCTATTTTTATTTTACAGTTGAGAAAACTAAGGCAGAGAGTGATCTGCATAGTGTCACAAAGCTAGTACGTTTCTGAGGCTGGATTTAAGCCCTGGTCTTCTGATATCAGGATTAGTACTGTATCTACTGAGTCACTTAGCTTCCCCATGGAGAAGATGTGAGAAGATGTTTTAAAAGTCAAACCTAGATCTCCTGACTCCTAGTGCATCATTCTTTGTATTGTCGTTCAGCTGTTTACAGTCATGTCCAACTCTCTATGACCCCATTTAGGTTATTTTGTTTTGTTTTTGGCAAAGATACTGGAGTGGTTTGCCATTTCCTCCAGCTCATTTTACAGATGATGAAATTGAGGCAAATAGGGTTAAGTGATTGGCCCAGGATAGCACAGCTAGTAAGTATCTTAGGCTAGAATTGAACTCAAGAAGATGAGTATCCCTGACTCCACACTCAGCACAGTATCTATTGCGTGACCTAACTGACCCCTCATTTTTTGGTACTGCCCCACAATGTCTCTCAAGGATCCTCAGTGTTCTTTTTTGAAGTGAACATAAGCCATTTGCTTTTGTGTTCTCAGTTCCACCAAAGATCTCCAACATCTCCTCAGATGTCACTGTGAATGAGGGAAGCAACGTGACCCTGGTCTGCATGGCGAATGGTCGGCCTGAGCCAGTCATCACCTGGAGGCACCTCACACCAACTGGTAAGTACTTCTCTGGTCTCTGACAGAAAGGATTTCAAACCTTAAATTTAGAGGACTGGCAAGACACTGAACATCTGCATGGCATCATTTTAGGCAAATGCTAATTGAATTAGATTCAGGTGATGGCCACATTTAAAGAATGTGCCCTGTGGATGACTGGCTTCATCTCTATTGCTGCTGTGTATTCATATCTCATAAGCAGTCTTCTCAGGGTGCCTGGAAGAATTTTCAATATGATTAAGTAATGGGAGCCTGAAATAACCAGCTCACTAGTCTACAATTTGGATTTCAAATCATGGCCAATAATTCAGGGAGAGAATTATGTTAAAAATAAGATTAAATATATAGCCATGTAATTTTCTCTCAGAGAGTAATCAACGGATATCCCCAGGCAATATTTAAAGTTTTCTTTTCATATAAACTAACCAAAGTCCAGTAGCAGAATCACATCAAAACAACTAACATTATAGAACTTCAACCCTTGTGAATACAACAGTAATCTTCCCAGATTGCCAATACTAATTTGAGGACCCCCGTAATGAAACATACTTCTAGTTGACTCTTTGGTTTTTATATTCATCTAGCTTTGGTCAATATCTTTATGTTGTGACTAAATTTAGCCCATCCCCCAAATATCAAAGCCACCTTCTTCAAGCTTAGTAGCCCTTTAATATTATGTGGACAGCATGCTAAATCACATACAGAAGCCTGGTCATCTTGTTCTATTATTCTTGTGCTGTTGGTGAAAGTACAGAATGTCTTGGTGAGTGCCCAAACAAATGGGTCTGGCTTTGGCACAACCTCCAAGTGGGACTGAAGTATGGGTTCAGCTGGGTTGAGTCCTGTAAAGCTACATGAATAAGGGGGGAGAGGAGAATGTTGGGTGGGGTGAGAGAAGAGGAGTTGACTCATTTGAAGCCCAGGAATTATGGCATGTAAACCATTTTGGAATGGAGAAACCCAACACACATACACACACACACATATGTCATTAAAATCTGTCATTTAATGGTCACATGGGCAGAAAGAAAACAGTGCCAGGCACATAGTAAGCACTTTATGCTTGCTGACTCACTGAGAAGTAATATTGTGGATACGTATCTGCTATGACAGACAAGTGACACCAGCACTTCCTGGTCTGTATCCTCCAGTAAATACATCTCTTTTCCCTGTCTCTTCTTTAAACTCTTCTGAACTCACTGTAGACCCTTTGTTTAATGCTCCTAAGGGTCCTTCCTTCCCGCTGCTTCTCTGAACAGTATAGACAGGTAACCTTATATTAGATCACCATAGAATATCTTGCCTATCTTTGAATCTTCTATGATCTAGAATATTTCCATCCTGGAGATCAGAACGATTCTGAGATTTGGGTTTTCTCCAGAGTTTTTCTAGGGGTTCAGATCTTTTATGGCTAACCCTAACCAACTTTGATGATAAGTTGAAATAAAAAAATCTTAAGGTGGATCATGGCTGAATGATTAAATGCTAGGTGAGGATTAGATCACACACACACACACACACACACACACACTTCAGTACAGCCATACTTTGCAAAGATGACCCAGGGATTCTCTCCACAATCAGTCAAGTGTGCTAGGATGATTCACATCCAAGATCCATAGATTGATAGACATTCTAAGATCTGGCAGTACTCTACTAGCCTATTTGTTCCTATGTTATACTCACAGATCCTATATTAAAATATGCCAAGATGCTGGGGAAATAACTCTGAATATAGACCATAATTGAGTTGGGTACTACTCTAAGACATGCAAACCAGCTACCAGCTATATTTACCTATTTAAAGGTAGTTATTTATTCACTGTGTTGTGTGTGTGCGTGTGTGTGTGTGTGTTTCTGACAATAAGTATTAACTCCCCTGGTCTACTCCTTTGTCTTTTTTTTTTTTTACATCTGATTCACATAAGCACACGTTCTCTCATTTCCCACCCTTGAGCTCTTATTCCCAGTGACAGATGAAAGGGTTTGCCTAGTTGATAAAATAATGAACATGGGGTAGAGAGGGTTTTGTTGCTCTCAAAAGTTGGGAGCACAGAGGTATTCCTTATACCTCTTTCTGCTCATAAAAGGAAGCCTTATTTGGAGACAGCCACAGAAGGTGCTTTACTGCCTTATATGACAGAATAGCTGCTTGCAATTCGAGGTAGCGTGAGCAAGAAATCCAGCCAGCTTTGTTCAATTATTAATTGCTTCTTCAACACTACAGAGTGTGGCTGTCGTGCAGAGGAAGTGTACCTGTAATTAGCTCAACCCCACAGGGACATCAAGCCTTGAAAGGAGGAAGCTCCCTTGCAGGGTTTGTGGATACCTGATTGCCTGTCATTTGATGACAGTGAGGCAGAAAGAAAATAAGGTGTATGGTATATGTCTTATGAGAAGAGGAATATTTATTTCTCTCTTTCTTTGGTTTCTTATATGTGGGTTGAATATTTTGAAACAGGAGATTCTTTTTCTTTAAATATATTACAACTAATTTTGAGGGGACAAAAAAAGCTTGTAAGGTGGTATGGAATCATTTGGAAAATGTGCAAAATCAGAAATTTTATCTGAAATGGGGGAAGTGGAATAGTAGTGAAAACAGAGGATACCTTCACTCAGGACACCTTTCTTCTCTCACTGGCTCCTTCATTTCTTTTTCCATTTTAACCATTCTGTAGAGTGAAAATGGCATATCATGTATATGGGTGTGAAAATATAACCTATTCCACCCATAATTAAGTTAGGTTTTCATAATCCTGTGAGTCTCGAGGGGAAATCACATTATAACTTATATTTCCTTTTGAACATTTGATCTCCCTCCTGTGAGCAATCCTGGTCTGGTCTTCATCAGACTTTTGTTTCTAAATCTTTCTATTCATATCTAAATGGAAGGCCATCTCTCATGTGAGCATCACATTCTGTCAGAATTACTCAGGATTTTGCTGAAAAGTATTTTCTAGGCAGTTCATTTCTGCTAAGGTTATTAATCCAAGTAAACCAATGAAATTTCTCCTTTTTTTCCCTCCTCTCTTGCCTGCCTGCTCACTCTGTGTAGCTATGTACTATAATCTGCAGGTTGCAACAAGGTCACAGTAGTGCTTCAATGTATGCTCCAAAATGGAAACTTGATATAGTAACACTGCCAGAGTTCTGGTAATTTTCTAAGTTCTATAAGGAAGTGCAATATACTTTGATGGACCTGGGAGGGTAAGGAGAAACTACTGAAAACTGTAGGTAATAAAGACTCAACTGTTTCAGGTACAAACCTCTTTTTACATTTTGCTTTGTATATGGAAATGTTCCATTTACTTGCTTTTTGTTCAGTTCAGAACGAAAAAAAAAATTGAGAAACTACTTGGAGGGCTTAGGAGAGTCCCTTGGTCCCCAGAGGTCGCATTGATTCTTTGTTTCCCCATTGGGGTCAGGAGCACCTCTCCTCTAACCCTCTGGGGATCAGGCACTTCCAAAAGACTAGGAATTTACTGACTCCACTAAAATCAACTATCCCCTTTCCATCTTTTTCAAAGTTTAAAGAATGTACCTGAGGTTAGCCTTATGAAATTCCATTACTGCTGTAGGCTTGTGGGCCTTATTTCTATTTGTAAAACAGATCTAGCTATAGCATCTCTAGTTCTTCTGGGATTGTCAATGAAATTTCTAGCCTTAAAAATTGTGAAAAGTAAATAAAGAAGCAAGCAGTTTAACTTTAAGATTTGAATCTTCTTTCATTTGGTACCTTATGGTTCCTGCAATAACCATAATTTTATCCTCTGGTGCTCATGAGGGAAGAAGGTAGTATGAATATGCAGTTGGTATGGAAAATAAATGCTTTAAGATTTGTGTTTCAGGAAGTATTATCTCTAAAGTTCTTTGGAGTGAAATTTTAGAATATGGTTTGATTTGAAGACAGTCTGGGCTGTAGACAAGGTATCAAGGGGTGAGAAGTGTCAATTACAAATGTTAAGTTTAACAACTCAGTTCCAAGATACATTAAGTAAACACCTGTTATCAGTGTGGTACATTGTTAAGTTGTGACGAAAAACAACATTTCAAACCTACTCTAAATATTATTTTCATTTGAGCTTTATATTTCTGTTTTTTAGAATTTTTGTTTTGTCCTTTCCAAAAAAAAATAGGAAAAAAGTGAAAGATAAAGAAAATAAAACTTAATAAGAAATTGAGATACTGGTAGGTCTGATTACATTTTTATAGGAAACTTCTAGGTGAGAAATGAAACTCTATCAACCTAGATAGGCATTTTCTCTATGATCTTAATCTTTAAAAGTGCCTAAAACAAGGATAAGTTATATAGTCCATGTGTGTCAACAACAAAACTTGAACCTAGCTCTTCATAGCTTCACAGTCATCTGACGCTGTCATGTTGTCTCAAACACTTCAGTCACGTGTCTCAGATGTATAGAATACATATTTTTCCATAAAGAAATAACACCTTACCAAAATAAAATTCAATAAAGATTTATATTCCTATCTGTTTTACAAAAAAGTGACATTGCATTAAGAGCTGGGGACAAATCATCATATTAGCCAACGATGCTAAGCTATTCTTTATTTCTGATTTTGAAAATCTTTTTTTTTTAACTCTCCACATTTTTTTTCCATAGCTGCAGGGGAACTAATTGCAACGTCTACTTTTTCCCCCAAAATGTAGACATTTTGTGAGTTATTTGTGTGTAAAAAGATCTTAAGTTTATTTTAAGATTAGAAGTATATTTTTACCCGATTCATATGATTCCAGAGAGGCCTAATCAAGTCAGCACAAACTTTGCTTCAGGAAACTTCCCATTGAAGCAAATGTACTTTAGATAGAATGAGTCCTTGCAGAACTCAAAGATATTGTGGCTGTGCATTTTGGAATCTCTAGCATAAACCAAAAGATCCCGTCTGATGCATGTCAGAGGTACTGAAATCAGTCACACTTCCTCTCAGAATACTTTATAGTCTATAGAGATATTAATACAGTGTTTGCAAAGAGCACTTGA